AAGTGCATCTACTCAATATGAACTGAAGGAACTTATGACATCAAGCAGTGAGATAGAGAGCATATGTAGGCTCTGGACAACACATACAAAGGCATGACGAGCAGTGTAATGGTCAATGGAACTATATCAGAATGGTTTACTCTTGAAAAGGGGAGTGAGGCAAGGGAGTGTGCTCTCGGCAAAATTATATCTCGTTTACATCAACGACCTTCTGAAAGCCCTGGACTCGACAAAGAAGGGAGCAATGGTGTTAGACCTCCATATTGCAGCACCGACACAAGCTGACGACATCTGTCTCATCAGCCCAGTCACATCTTATCTTCAGGACATGGTCGCTCTTTGTGAGACTTTTAGCAAAAAATGGAGATTCACATTTTCACCTGTTAAGAGCAATGTAATGCTATTTGGTAAATCAAAGAAGACGGATTGCAACATAATCCTCTATCAAAAAGAAATACCAATCTCATGTTGGTGAGACTCTTAATTCACAATTCATTTCCTGGGACAGGACGGTCAGTGCAAGCTCCAAAATGAAATCTTCAACGATGATGCTGATGAAGTCTGGCTGCCACTGCAAAGGTTTAAACCCAATCGATTGTGCAAACCTCGTAAGAACTGTAAGCATCCCAAGAGCCCTATTCGGCTCAGAGTTGTGGTGTAACCTTACTAAAGGCGAGATTATAACTCTCGAACGAGCCCAACGTTTCGGCCTAAAGTGTGCCAAGGCTTACCAAGATCAACAAGAACAGACATCTGTAACTCATTAATAGGATGGAGCCCTTTGGAAGCAGCAATACATATGAGAAAGCTGTTCTTCTTTGGTATCCTCTGCAATACCCAACACCATCTCCTTGCACACCATGTTTTCCTCAACAGACTTCATGCCTTCAAGAACAAATGCACAGGACATACTCAAGGATTCCTTCCGGATATATGCCAAATTCTTGAACATTATAATCTGCTGCCTCACCTACATTCCTTCCTACAGACTCATCGGTTTATGCCTCAATCATCATGGAAGAGAACTGTGAAGAAAGCTATACAGGAACAGGTGGAGGAAGAGTGGCTGCACCGGACGTCGTCAGATCCAGACCTGAAGCACTTTCTGAATATTCATTCTTCCATCAAACCTCATCCAGCCTGGAAGATTGCAAAGGCCTTGCCAAGACAGAAGAAGAAGTGCACATTCCTAGTGCAAATGTGTTCTGCATGGCGCCCAGACAAAGTTCCTGGTACCTGTTCTGACTGTGGCTGTGATCACAACGACCGGTTAACACATATTGTATGTTGCTGTGTTGCTAACGAGTCTGCGAGAGACACTCTGTGGTGCAACATCGCCAGTGTCAACCCAATAGAGCTGAGTGTCAGTCTCCACACAAGATCTGATGCAGACATAGTATCCTGCTTCCTGTCCTGTCAGCCCCCAGTCACCCTGCAGGAAGATGACCTCCAGCTGTACCAGTCTGTGCTGATCGAGGGGTTCTACAGCCTCCGCCACTATATTGACTCTTAAATTACACGCATAACAAACTATCCATGATTTAATTTAATTGTTTTCCCCTGCTGTTCTTGTAATCTCCTATGGAGGAATAAAAGAGTATATATATATATGCACCAAAACATGTTAAACTGATGGCACCTGTCAGCGCGCTAGTCGCCATTCTTTCAGAGACACTTACCATGCCTACCAAAGAAAACTTTGCCAAGTTGTGCAGAAAAACGCAGAAAAGCCCACATTAATCCTGGAAATAGCAACATAAAAACATGTTTTAGCGATTTAAAGTTGCCGTTTTTACAGTTTCAGTAGCGAGGTATTATGTTTATGTTGCTTTTCCCACGATTAATGTGGACTTTTCTACGTTTTTCTGCACAGTAGGAAAGTTTTCTTTGGTAGGCCTGCTTACTCCTCACTGTCATAATGAGTTAACGTACATTTATTCATCGCAAACAGAATTGTGTCGTGCCCGTTCGCCATTGACGACCTTGGCCTTAACCGGGCCTGCACTAAAAAGAGTCAGCGATCTGATGGGGCATATTTTATTTACAGCCAATGAGCACCCTTTTTGGTGCGGGGCAGGTTAAGAGTTACAAGCCCCTGTGTCCTCTTCTGTATACTGCTGCTTGCCAGATTAACTTTTTTGAGCAAATGACGGGTGCTAAAGGTAAACCGGGGCTTACTTATTTTGCGAACCTCCAATGCCATCACTGATGTTTAGTGATCCGAGTATATAACTTTCATCGAGACCGCCTCCGTTGTGTAGTGTTTAGAGCGTCTGCCGGGAGAGCGGAAGGTCGCGGGCTCGATCCCCAGCCGCGTCATACCAAAAGACGTTAAAATATGGTACTTGTTGGTCCCTGCCTGGCGCTCGGCATTAATGGGTACAACAAGGACATGGTCGGCTCGGAGTCAGTATAATGTGTCTGAGTGGGATATTCATGCTTCACTGCGGCATGGTATCTCAGTGGGCTAGCACTATAAAACCAGCTTAAGTCTGGGCTAGTACAAGCAGCCGCACATACACATACACACACATGCACGTCGTCATATGAGTGAAATATTCTCAAGCACGACGTTAAACCCAATTTCACCTCACCTCACCTCACCTCACTTTCATCGTTATTGTTATGGTATTTATCTGGCTGTGTCGGCGGATGATCGAGACCGAGTGTTCACTTGTTTTGTTATATCCAATCAGCGTTTTGCCTTGAATTGGGTTTTGAAGCGGTTTTAGCTTCAATATCGCTGACTTCAGCCTTAAGAAACTAACTAACTTACTTTGTGGACCCTGCAGCAGTGACGTTTGCCATCTATCGATTAATTTGAAAGCCCTGCAACCGACTTATAGGAACTTCTTGAAGTGACAGTAAAATATCTGCCTATATTCGGTACTGCAAATACTCGAGTTGAATGAGAGACAAATCATTTCAGTGAGTGAGTGAGTGAGTTTGGTATTACACCGCTTTTAGCAATATTCCAGTGATATTACGACGCGAGGTATACATTGTAACCATGTGGGGAATCGAACCCAGGTCTTCGGCCTGACGAGCGAACGCTTTAACCGCTAGGCTACCCTAGTGACAAATACCCCATGTATCAAGGAATGTTCTTCGTTGTGTACATTAAAACATGGAACGTTTTGATAGAATTGAACTTGGTTCTCTCTTAAGATTGCAAGAATTCAAAGAAATTATCTCATATCTTGTAGTTTTATTAAGATTAATTTTTGAGACAGGAGTTCGGTGGTACATTTTCTTGACGATGCTACGTACCTGCTATGTGAGCGGGTGAGTGAAGTTGGCTTATTTCAGGTATGTATCACTGCGTTTCAGTTTGAAATAATAAAGACAAGATCAACGTGAATTCGAAGTCCTCAAACATTAACTACTTCGTTGAAGTACCGATATCCCAATGTATCGACCACCATGCTGGCGTAATGATAACAAGCGCGTTTTCCATTTCAATCTGATAACTATCCTGGAAATGTGAGAAGCGGTACCCGCGTGGCCATGTTGTCTGAGGCGTCGCAATTCGCTATGCAGACAGACTTGAGTCCCTTGACCACGTAGGCTGTGGGTCCTGAACCCGGTGTCCCCCGATTATATGTCTTTCTTTGTCAGGGTGTTGTGGTGTCCTAGTGGTTAAAGCGTTCGCTCGTCACGCTGAAGGACCGGGTTCGATTCCCCACGTGGGCACAATGTGTGAAGCCCATTTCTGGTGATATTGCAGGAATATTGCTAAAAGCGGCGTAAAACCATACTGACTCACTCACACACTTTCTAACTCTGCACCAGAGCCGTGCTTGTTGGTTCCACCGAGGTAGGAAACCGCTATCACCTGCATCCTCCCACACTAAACTGGGGCGGTGGGGTAGCCTAGTGGTCAAAGCGTTCGCTCGTCACGTTTAAGACCCGGTTCGATTCCCCACATGGGCACATTGAGGGAATGAGTGTGAGTGAGTGGTTGGTTTTACGCCAGCAGTATCACGGCGAGGCACACCAGAAATAGGTTTCACACAGTATACCCATGTGGGGAATCGAACCCGGGTCTTCGGCGTGACGAGCGAACGCTTTAACCACTAGGCTACCCCCACCGCCCCGCCTTAAACATAGTTTACGTGGTGACATCTAACTTTGATTGAGGAGGGGGTGGTTCCGTCGTTACATCCCTTTCCTTTTATATAGTGCTAGGGTAGGGTCTATATACCTATAGGTACCTCGTAAGGATGAGAAAGCCGCAAATACTCGGTGCGCCTTAGTGGCTGCAAGAGTTGTATGATCCCCGGGGAGTTGAGATTGATAATATAGTTTTATAGTGCCAGCTCACGGAGATACCATGCCGCAGTGAAGCATGAATACCCCACTCTGACACCTTGTACTGACTCCGAGCCGACCAGTCCTTGTTGTACCCATTAATGCCGAGCGCCAGGCAGGGACCAACAAGTACCATATTTTAACGTCTTCTGGTACGACGCGGCCGGGGATCGAACCCGCGACCTTCGGCTCTCCCCGGGCGGACGGAAGCCTTAAATAAACATACTAACCATTTCGTTACTGCGTTAAGCTTCTGTCACACAAATCACAATTTTCTAAATTGAACCCTTTTTCTCTTCTTGCCAACATGTCTCCATATCATGTAATAGGTACTTTGGTACAGGGGATCAATTGAATCCAATCCATGAAGAGTGAGTGAGTGAGTGAGTTTAGTTTTAGGCTGCTTTTAGCAATATTCCAGCAATATCAGGGTGGGGGAAACCAGAAGTGGACTTTAAATATGGTACCCATGATTAGAATCAAACCCAGGTCTTCTGCTTGACGAACGCTTTAACCACTAAGCTACCCACCACCCCTGAATATTAAATGAGAGCAGGTATGATTTTACCCTGCTTTCAGTAATATTCCATCATATTAATGAAGGAAAACCAGAAATGAACTGTGCCCATTTGCAGTCAGTGATGAACATATGTCACAAACAATTAAAAATTAATAAAACAACACATTTGTATATCTTATGTTTTATTTCATACATTTTATGACAGCTGCAGTAGATTCATTTTAATGACATTGTACCAGGTCCGTTTTCAGTGGTTCCTAGTGAACCACCATGTTCTATGACTACCAAAGAGTATGAACAATTCTTTTTTAAAATACAGGTAGTTCATGTATTATCAAATTTGGAAATTTAAATATTTGACGGTGATTGAAGTTTGACACATTTGGTTAAAGCAATTTGGAAAATGCATATAAAAATACTGCATTACCTATGTACAACTTCGTTAGTGTACGGCACAATGATTACTTCATCTCTGAAGAAAAGGTCCCATAGCAGCCATAATGAGATCACAGATCAGGTTCACAAATTCACTGCGAACTGTACTTTAGATTTAAATGTATAACTGAGCATTCGCAAAGTTATAAAAAATGCATGAAATGATTTCGAACTTGTAGTGAGATGTACTACACTACCTTGAGCACTGTTTTTCGATCATAATTTCAGTATCACAGGCTGTCCTCTTGGAAAACAACTTAATAGTCAAACAATGCCCATTCACAACTGTTCAGTACACAAGCACTCTCATTCATCCTTCTTTCTCTCTCAGTTTCATCATAAATGCCACTGTCACATGAAAGCAAAAAAGTCAATTTCACAACTGCAAAAGATATAAGCACAAATAACGTCTCTGAGAAGCACAGTTTGTCCCAACGAACAACAGATTCAATCCCTGAGATGCCCCTTGGCCTTCTGTGTTGAGTTATCTGCCCTTCAAGGGATCATAATTAGAGTCACCTCCCTTGTGACACACAAGTGCTCCTCACAGCGTCTTCATCACATACAATCTGCCCTATCCAACATGTGGGGTGAAAGGAGACTACTGTCCCCATCTTGTGTGGGCGAGGCGGTTCTGTCGCACGTCCATGTGTTTCTTAGTGTCCGTTTCCCACATCTGTATTTGAACCCCTGGGGTACTGGCAGCTGAAACAAGATGGTCATGCAATGAATACTATGAAATATTTATATAGAAGTTTTCAACATTAGAAAATAAGGTGTATCCATATCGTATCATATTTTTGCATGATATTGGTCTGAAAGAGGAAGAAATTGAATTATTCCTGCTTCAAATTGTATTTCAACTATATCAGCATGTTTACTGGGACTGACTGAGTTTGGTTTTACGCCGCTCTTAGCACTATTCCAGCAACATCACGGCAGGGGACACCAGAAATGGGCTTCACACATTGTACCCATGTGGGGTTTACTGGGAGGGCGATGGGTTAGCCTAGTGGTTAAATCATTCTCTCGTCCAGACAAAGAACCGGATTCGATTCCCCACATGGGTACAATGTGTGAAGCCCATTTCTGGTGTCCCTGCCGTGATATTGCTAGAATATAGCTATAAGCGGCATAAAACCATACTCTTTCAGTCAGTTTACTGAGAAGGAGATCATCCTGAAACGCTTAACCCCATTGGTAGGACCCAATCATTGGTTGGTTTAGTAAGGATCATAATCAGAGATTCTAAAGTATGGTCAGCGGATCCTGGGACAGACAAGGGATGAAACTCTGGACAACAAATAACGGCGTTTTAGACAACCAAGCCACTTGTGCCCTTAAAAGGGGAAGCTTTCTTTAGCTAAGAAATGCATGAAATGTTTTAACAGTTCCAAATAATATTAAAAATAAAATCAAGAAGTTTTAAACATTTATTCTACCAACCTGATTTTCCAAATGATGACGCCACCCGTGACAACACCGCCGCCATTATGAATAATACAGCTGCATACACAATACAGAAAAACAAAGTCAATATGCCCTTCACTGCAGGAGTGTCCTTTTTGGGTTTGGATTCCTCTTGAAATGATTTACTAATGGAATTCATTTTGACAAAGTTTCTAACTGCTTTCTTCTGATATCTGGGAGATGTTGATTCTCTGGCACAGTGACACAGGAGCTTTGAGATTGATTCAGTTCCTAGAAACCTGGGTTCATCATCTGACGTTTTCTGAAAAGAATTACAAAATTAGGAACCTGATGTAAAACAAAAACATTAAAACAATCAAAAGCTTGAAAATATAATGAATGTCGAGGTGACTCGAACACACGATGACAGAATCAAAGATACCACAAAACAATGTTGAGGTAGGTCCGAATTACTTCCCTTTGTTTATTTCATCAGCTGGTGAAAAGCCGTTATTCTATTGTGCGAAATTCAATGCGAAAAAAAACCCCGAAACCCTCAATGCATCTTTTTAGCTGTAGGAATGGAAACAAAACACTAAGAGTACATTTCCTCAGGCGAAACCGGATATTATTTGCGTGTACAACGAGGCTATGCCAGCACACACGTTCTGCATGGATGTCCACGGTTCCCTCACGTGGGTTAGAGCGGAGCGAGCAGAAGCTTGACTCCCGTCATAATATGGGGTCGGGAATAGCAAATTTGTAGTAGAGTGTCGTATGAAATAAGTTCAGACAGTTCCTATACAAACTTACGCTACCGTCCATACAGTCAGAGCAGCAGAGAACAAAATTATAATTAGCATGTATAAATAGCCTATGACAAACTGTTAATATTTATGCACGAATTGTATTTTAGAAATAATCCAAATGTTACATGGTCAACAGAAATATCGCAAAGCATATTCACATGTTAAACGTATATATGCAAGCTGACAAAAGCAAGACAAACTGTTTGTCATGAAATCAGAATGTGAAAGACTCTTTGGGTTAACAATGAACACAAGCATATGCCAGTTTGGGTAAACAAATATCGCGCTTCAAAGATAAGGTGTACGAATAAATGAAAATATATGGATGTGTAAATGTCTTTCAAGATCGAAGTCAAACAAACGATCTCCTGAATGAACCACATCAATTATAGATACCTTTGAACAGGAATCGGTCTTGTTCACATGCATCATCATTGTTTCCGAGTGTCGGCAAAGCGTATCAACTCGCACATCCGACTGACATAATGGGTTTAAACACGATTTCATTCTGTCGCAGCTGATGAAATATCCACAAGAATCATCAACCTCTCACGCCGCTAGCCACAATACTTTTGAACTAGCAGACGAACAACATCTATTTATGAGCGGCAGTCAATCGACCTTCACCTTGCAGGCCTAAGCTGCCCTAAGACGAACCCCGTTCTAACAAGCCAACGTGCTGGCTGCATGCATGGTGACCCGCCAACGACCTTCACCCTCGTGTTCCATGTTGTGAGCACGCATGGCTTTGGAAATCCTTGATCTATTTTTAGCTCCCACCGATCAGCTTTGGCTCACAGCATGAAGGGTCTGTGTGGAGAGGGGGAAAGTCCCGACTTAGATAAGAACGGCGGGACATTGTTGCATGAGATTACGTGACAATCCCAACGCAACACTGAAAACGTTGTACTTTGGTTCAAGCGATAAACCGTTGCCTTGAAACGGGGTGCAATTTGCACGTTATTTTATTTTTAAATTATCGATGTCGAACTTTGAACGTGGTCGAGATACGGACGCTTTGATATTTTGTTCTCTAGATCTAACGGTTCGTGTTTCGAATGTCTCAATCTGTATGCAATATGTATCGACGGATCATATATTTCGGATGACAGTGCAAACTCGGGCTGTACACATAACGCTAGGGGTGTTGCGTCAAACAGACATTGTAAATTCTTGAATGAATGTGTTTCGGATAATGTTAATTTTTACAACTTATAGTGACATGTTTTACAATTGTTCATATGTTTATGGAGACAACGGATGTTATCCGAAAACCAACAACACGAGGATATACCATGTCTGTAAACATCAAAATTAATTGAACAGATGTATACTGAAACAAAATTCATGCTAAACAATCAGTGATGTAGCCCTGTGTGCTTCTTTTAATGCACTAATACAATAAATGTGAGACTTAACACTCTTAAAAATGAAATGCCTGGCTGGTTTATATACATATTCCAAAGGGAAACCATTTCTCACTTCACCTCTTCTTCCACGGGTGAGTTTAGTTTTACGCCGCACTCAGCAATATTCCAGCTATATGGCGGTTTCTTCCATGAAGAATACTGGGGGTAATACATGGATGGACAGATGGAGTGAGTGTCAACAGATTGAAAGAGAAGAATATGTGATAGAAAGATCATAGACGGAACCAGGAATTTTCAAAGGGTGGGGTGGGGATTGGTTTGCTCCCCCTGAACCCCCCTTGGTCCGCCAATGCTAACAAACATTAACTTCAATATGGTCTTCAGTCATTTTCAAAAGGAGGGGTTGAATCCCCCTCAAACAGAAAACTTCAAAATCCAAACGGAGACCAAAACAATCCCAAAACGGAGGCTATCTAAACTTGCAAAAGAATTCTCGACTTGTGTTGGACTTTAATTTGAAGGGAATCCAAATGGAGACCAAAACTTATTTACTTATTTATTTATTTTAATTTTATTTAAACTGGGAGTAAATGTCAGTCTAAGATGGAAGGGATATAGAAAGAAATGATAGAATGAATATATTAAAAGAATGAGTGGATAGACAGAAGAAATGACTCATGAACAAAGAAGTGTCAGTAACAGTATTCTACACAGACGATGATATGTGTCTGGGGTCCGATGTAAACATACAGTTACATCACAAAACGGCTCCCAACTGCGTGTTGCTTCATCTGCTACACCCATATATGGCAAGCGAACGTCAGTCAGCGAGATGATTGACAGGAACGGAGTCGTAGGTTAAGAAATGTCACCGACTGTGACCAATTGATCATATCCAGGTTCAACCTTTGGACCCCCGTCGACAGATCACACATGTATGTCAACCTGTTACACTCTGAACAATATGTACATACAGTTAACAAAGTAAAACAGTCCCGAATAGCATATAATATACTGAGGGAAACAAATAACGGAACACCACTTCATGGCAGTGTTCCTTTATTTATTCTCAGATTTCCTCCCACAGCGCTATTCAAAGCTCTGATGAAAACTGGAAAATATTAAAGGAACGCTTGAATTTTCCTGTGTTCCTTTATTTGTTTCTCAGTATATTTACCAACATGTTGACCAGATATCTATAATTCGGCTGTTAAACAGTTACAAAATAGTAAGTCTTTAAAAGACATTTAATTACATGCATTTTTATAAGGATACTGTTAAACATTATGATGAAAATATAATGAATAATATTGTTAGTAATCAACAAAACATATTTACAAAACTGAAACACATAAGGGTTATCTGAAAACAATGAATGTGGAATTTAAAATTACAAAAACGAAACATGAAACCAGTGGCCAATACCAAAACCTGTGCGAGAAAACATGTGAAGCATACCACACCAAAACAATTTACAACAGCGAAAACAACAACAGCGGTTTGGAACAACTCACCCTTCACCAATGACAGCTGGATAAGCAAGAACAACGTCGATCAGTAAAATCAACCAAAACCTTCAAAATTGATCATAATTACCTCGGAATATATATACAGCTTGACACGTCCCATGGTAGAGAGAGGCCTATGGTGGAGAGATACATCTGATATATGATTAACGCAAGATAGCGGTTTAATATCGATGCTGAGCTACAGCGAATAGCCTTAGGGACACTTTTATCTGTCGACCTTGTGACAAGTGCACAGGTAAATCTTTCTAGAAGAAAGTAACGCTCAAATATCTAACGACGTGTATTTGGCGCCAGTTTGACATGCATTCAGAGTCCGTTTTTCTGTTTGTATTTGCCTGATCACGCGATGGCTATTATAAGCAGGACAATAGCTTGACTACAATGGACAAAAAATGCCCTTGGTCTGAGATTTACGTTATATAAACAGTATAGAGGAATATAAGTCGATTGGACAACGGTAGCCGAAGCGATCACCGTGTTGTTCATTTCAGCGTGGATCAGGTGATCACTCATGGGATCAGATAAGATAATAATTAGTAATACTAATTACTGACGAGCATTACTCCCATGTCATTGACGCGGGAGAGTTGGGACACAAACGTATCTGTTAAACATTGTATCCCTCAACGTAAATATTGATGTAGTGTCAAATGTTCAGTGACCTCATATTGTTTTCGTAACTATTTTACTTTATTATCCATAAAGTTTGTCAATATTGTATTTCCCTACTTCTGCAATGCCACTCAAAGAAGTTATTTACATTCTTCACCCAATCGAACGTGTTTCGGCAGATAATCGAGAGTGATAATTATCTGGCGTTGATCTTATAGATTGGGAGGGTGATGGGGGTGGAACTGGGGAAGTATTGAGGAAGGGAAGGGGGCGTCTCCGATGCTAGAGAAAATTCACTTTTCTCCTTTAAGATGAAAAAAAAATAGTTGAAGGGAGAGTCCGCCTTCTTAGTCGTTCAAAAGCACGTTAAACATATAACTTATAAGTCTCACTATTTATTCATATACTGTACATATATGTTTAGTGTGTGCCTGGCAGTCTCCCTTACAGACTCGGAAACAAACTACGTTTACAACAATCACGCTTAAAACGAACTCATGAATATATCGAAGTTATAACGAACAATTTAGTGGCCCCTTTGAGTTCGTCACAACCGTGGTTTACTACTGTATATCCACATAACCCAATGCAAGTCTACAATAGTTGGTAAGACAAGAATACTGCAGTCAATGACTAAATTCCCAAGGGTCCTTGTTACTATATTTTATTGTTTCTTTATATTAATATTGTTAAATAATTTTTTATCAGATCTTCAGATTTTTTATATCAATCTTCGCTAGATCTTCCCCCCATACATGTTAAATATTAAATTAAAATGTTTCTATTATTTGTAAGTTACACCAGGTACTTCCCATGGGCGCTGAATCGGCCTTGAAGAGTACACATTTCGTCCTGACCGGGGTAAGAATGCTCCTTTGGGCCTCTCATGAACACATTCCACGTTAAAACAATTATCTTGCGGCAAAACGTTCTCTGGGATATCGTTCATTATCCGTACATTTCAAACATCAAAGGCACAAAATAAATGATGTTTAAGGAATATTTTTCTAAGTTATTCTATGTCTTTCCACTTACATATCAAACGTCAACGTCATAGATTAATCAGTATCGATTATTGATCGAAACTGATTCCGATCTGCGGGGAAGACAAAGATGTTCGTCACATACACAGTTTAGAACAATGTAAGGCTGAAAGGTATACAAATAGACGTAAATCAGTGATGATACCAGGGTCCGATACACAAGTTCGTAGCGCTACGACATTCGTAAGCCTATGATAAACTATAGAGTTACGACAGGTCGTAACGATACGGTCACTTGTGGATCGGGAGTCAGGAGTGAGTGAGTATGGTATTATGCCGCTCTCAGCAATATGTCAGCAACGTCACGGCGGGGAACACCAGAAATGGGATTCACACATTGTACCCATGTGGGGAATCGAACCCGGGTCTTCAGCGTGACGAGCGAACGCTATAACCACTAGGCTACCCCACCAGACCCTCGGGACCCAGGACTTCAGGGCAATTTATCAACTCAAACACAAGCTTGAATAAGATTACATCATTTTCTAACACGGAAGTCGCCATATCGTAAGTCGTTTGTAGACTTTAGCGAAACATTTCAGACAGTTGCTCTTGAAGGGTCCTCAAAGGATTTTATGAATGACGTCCCCTGTTCGATGCCCCAAGACGCCACGATATTACAATAGCAGGTTTAAGGTATGACGTCATTAGCATTACGTCACCATCCGCCCACAAAGCTTCTCACATTCAATGACAACACCGTGTACGAATAACTACATGTATACAGTGAGCCACACCTTAATAGTTTCCATACACTGTGTTGTCATCGAAAGGGTTTATGCTCGGTTTGCCAAACACGCTGTAAGCGATTTACATCTGGGCAAGTCGGCATCTCTGTTCACGTTCAGAAAACTATATGTTCAAATGTAACTTCATTCCTCCTTGACAACGGTACAAGAATCTGTCTCGAAACGTCGCATTCACGAAATATAAGAACTTGTTATCTATAATTGAGTGAGTATGGTTTTACGCCGCTTTTAGCAATATTCCTGCAATATCACGGCGGGGGACACCAGAAATGGGCTTCACTCATTGTACCCATGTGGTGAATCGAACCCGGGTCTTCGGCGTGACGAGCGAACGCTTTAACCACTAGGCTACCCCACCGCCCTGTTATCTATAAAGTTTGTTCAATATTGTCCTTATGTATAATGGGTATAATGAAAATTGTTGTTTTGAGATGACCCACGTCACCTGTTATTATCTGTCCGATCAGTACTGACTACGACCCATATTCGTGGTGGCATAGAGTTGTACAAGTCTCAGAGGTAATATTTGATAGTTTAAATGACAATTTCTAGACAAGATAAATCAGAACACATTGTCCCTCTAACAGACAGAATCTACCTACTGTCCGCTTATCTACACTTGCCCATACATCCATGGGCTTTCAGTACTGCCTTGAAGCAGGAAACCACGTTGAAAGATTCCAACCTTCCCTTTATTGCATGTGTGTTGATTGGTAGACATTCTGATCCATACTTGACCTCTCGAAGGGATAAGGATTAAGATATTCAATCAACGCCGCAAGTTAACCGGTTTCGTTCTTGGTATGCGCTTGTGTCAGTAGTAGAAGCCAATTTCACGCAGTAGGAGTACGAGTACCGAAGGCGTCAGTGCAGTGAATGCATAGTTTAATTTACTGCTTCACGAGTTATGTCGTTTTATTAGTTTTGATCAGAGCTTTATGTTGTAAATTTCCAAGTTTTGAATAATATCTTGCTGACACAAACGGACTGACACATACGATTTCATCATTTCTTTCATATGCAAAATCTGTTTCATGATTCGATCCCGTCGTCCCTATGATTGACATGTTGATTTATTGCCTTTCTATAATCATAAAACTCAAACACATACATTCGCACGATCCTTAGGTGACCCAGCCATTTTCAGTCATGTGGCCAGCCAGGGTAGCTGTGTGATTTACACACCAACTACACAGGCCATATGTGATCCGCGCATCAACTACACAGTCCATATGTGATTCACACACCAACTACACAGGCCATATGTGATCCGCGCATCAACTACACAGTCCATATGTGATCCACACATCAACTACACAATCCATATGTGATCCACACACCAACTACACAGTCCATATGGGATCCACACACCAACTTCACAGTCCGTATGTGATCCACACATCAACTACACAGTCCACATGTGATCCACGTATCAGCTACACAGTCCATATGTGATCCACACACCAACTACACAGTCCATATGTGATCCACATACCAACTACACAGTCCTTATGTGATGCACACACCAACTACACAGTCCATATGTGATCCACACATCACCTACAGTCCATATGTGATCCATACATCAACTACACAGTCCATATGTGATCCACACATCAACTACACAGTCCATATGTGATCCACACATCAACTACACAGTCCATATGTGATCCACACATCAACTACACAGTCCATATGTGATCCACACATCAACTACACAGTCCATATGTGATCCACACACTAACTACACAGTCCATATGTGATCCACACATCACCTACACAGTCCATATGTGATCCATACATCAACTACACAGTCCATATGTGATCCACACACCAACTACACAGTCCATATGTGATCCACACATCAACTGCACAGTCCATATGTGATCCACACATCAACTACACAGTCCATATGTGATCCACACATCAACCAATAGTGTAACAGTCCATATGTGATCCACACATCACCTACACAGTCCATATGTGATCCACACATCAACTACACAGTCCATATGTGATCCACACATCACCTACAAGTCCATATGTGATCCACACATCAACTACACAGTCCATATGTGATCCACACACCAACTACACAGTCCATATGTGATCCACACATCAACTGCACAGTCCATATGTGATCCACACATCAACTACACAGTCCATATGTGATCTACACATCAACCAATAGTGTAACAGTCCATATGTGATCCACACATCACCTACACAGTCCATATGTGATCCACACATCAACTACACAGTCCATATGTGATCCACACATCACCTACACAGTCCATATGTGATCCACACATCAACTACACAGTCCATATGTGATCCACACATCAACTACACAGTCCATATGTGATCCATACATCAACAACACAGTCCATATGTGATCCACACATCAACTACACAGTCCATATGTGATCCACACACCAACTACACCGTCCATATGTGATCCACATATCAACTACAAAGTCCATATGATTTTACAGTGTACAGTGAAACCTGTCTAAACCGGCACCCCAAGGGACCGAAATACGGTCGGAAAACGTAAGACAGGTGCCGGATTAGATAATGTTTTAATGATCATGATATCGTTGTAAAATGGCGGGACCAAAATTTCATGCCGGTTTTGACAGTGTGCCGGATTAAACAGGTGCCGGTGTTGGCAGGTAGTAAGTGCACAAACGCCATGACAGGGAACAC